CATCATGTGATGACGATTCAAAAATTAAAATTGACCTGTTTTTGGATTTTTTTCAAAAGTCGATTATTTTAGAAATAATGAATTTATTCCATACATTAGCGACATACTGTATACGGTTGTTTGAACAAATTAACAATTAAAAGATACAAACAAAGTGACAAAAATCCAGTATTGGGAATAATGAGTGTGGGATAAGCCCTTACAAATCATATCTGATCTCCAGAAGCAAGTTAGCTTGTGTGGAAATAAGGAATTATACCACCTTCACCATTCGCACAATTGAAAACAAGTTAACAAATTAGTTAAAATTTAAAGAAATTTACAAATGTGGAAAATATATATTGAAATTTGAATCTAGAATACAATAGTTAATATGAAGAAAGTTAAACGCAGAAGGCCAAAGTGAAAAAACTATTCGATATGGATATCAGTTAGTCATTTTTAGCGCTAAATAAACTTTAACCAGTTCGTCCTGATTATGCACATTTTTAACAGACTTCAAAAAAGGAGGAGGTTCTCAATTCGTCGCGATATTTTTTTTTTATGTATGCTCAGCGATAATTCTTTAACACGGTGTCTGATTTCAATGATCCTTTTTTTGTTAGAAAGGGGGTACTTCAGGGGTGGTCGCATATATATTTGGTCAAAATCTAATAATTGGGTCCATGAGAAAATCCTCAAATTCTGCATTTTTTATGTATGTTTAGCGATAATGCTTTACCACCTTGTCCGATGTATATGTTTCTTTTTTTGTTAGTAAGGGGGTACCTCAGGGGAGGTCCCATATAAATTTGGTTAAGATGTGGTGATGGCATCTGCACGTTTTTGAAGTCGGTTTTTTTAAATTTTTAATTTCTAATACTTGTTTCAATATCAGATGGCGGTAAAAATTTGCAGTGGGCTATTATGATTTGATTCTGTATGCGCCAGGGATACAAATCCGAGTTGCGCAATGTATAAACTGGAACATTGAGATCAAAAGTGCCGACGCAGAGTGAGCGAACTAATTCTTTAGCTATAAACTGTGACTTGGTGAATAGTATTTCTTGTAATGCACTCATTATTTTCAGGGTACATGTCTCAATATCAATCCGAATATACATTTTTACAACAAATAAACATGTCGGCCAAAATGAGCAGAATTTTATTAGTGGTAATAGCCTAAGTTATCTTCAGGAACAATATGCAATATACAGAACTACGTATAAAACAGCTTAAAGGAAAATCCTAACCAGATGTTTTTTTTTATAAAACAAGTATTCCAGTTAGTTTACAAGAAACTGTGGTTTCTTGATAATCTATATTCTGAGTGAAATCTGTGCAATTTAAGGCGAATTATCAAATATTTTCAAATAATCTATTTTTTTGGTATTTCCTTTAAAATTGATTATTCGATTATCTTTGAAAAAAAGAAAATAATTGATTAATTAAAAAAGGCGATTAAACGATAAATCGATTTTTGAATAAATTTATTTTCTTTTTGTATTTCTTTTAAAATCTATTATTCCATTGGGGTCAATTCTGTAAAAATTCCTTTATATTTAACGGCGTTTAAAAATATTGGCGGCCTTTAAAACAGTTAAGTTAAGTTCGTATTCGTTAATTTACTTCTGTCATTATTTAAACAGATTTCTTTAAGATAGTCCTCTAATGTATTTTAAAGATCCGTTTAAATAATGACAGAAGTAAAGAAGAAAATATTTTTAAAGGCCGTTAAATATAAAGGAATTGTTACAGAATAGACCCCAAAATCTTTGATTAATTATAACGGATAATAGATTTTCATAAACAAATAATCGATTACTTTTGTAACCCCTATCGGTCCTTGCTTTTATCCGAGCAAATTTAGAGATTTGCATTTTTTTGATCTCGTTATCTTTAAAATCGCATTCGATTGTAAAATAAATAAAAATATTGCAAGAATTTAGATTTTTTAATAAACATTTTTTTTTTCGAGTTGTTTAGGGATTTATATTAACATTTTATTAACAATGTGACTAACTCCCGTAGATTAGATTAGGAGTTGGACGTTATTTGTTTTTGTCCACCGCGACCTTTTCAGATCTATTGTGGGACTCCGTTTGTTTTAGAGTATGTCGTCTAGCCTGGTCTTTTTTATTAGACTTAGTAGCTTTGACAGTGGCTCCCGCATGTAGTTGCATGCAATTGGCTTTTCTTCGCCCAATGTTAGAAACCTCACTCCAGCCAGGCCTTCACATTGGCATAGGACGTAGAATGATGTTTCCACTTCTTCTTCTTCACAGAACCTGCACAAAGTTGCTTCTTCTGCTGGATTTATGCTTTTGAGGTGACAGTGTCCAGTAAGAAGGCCTACTGCTATCCTAACGATTTGACGCTTTTGATCCAGTAGTTCTTTCGTGAACTTGGCCGATGGTTCCTTGATGAACTGTTTGGCCTGCCTCAGTCTTGGATAGTTGTTCCACCATTTCTGAGACTCTTTTTGCATCCATAGTTTAATGGATGCCTTGCACAATGCCTTAGCAACTTCACAGAAGGGTTCGGGGCCTGGCATGGCCTTATCTGAGCCTTCTCGGGCTAATTCGTCGGCCTTGGCTATCAGAGTATATGGCAATAGTTTTGCCTGATACTTGCTGACTAACTCCCGTAACTTTAGTATTTTTATTTGCTTATACTAGATTATATTGTGCATTTTAATTTGTTTTTAAGAGTTAAGATTCAAATGTCCGATTTGACCGCAAGTAAGATGAACTTTGAAATTTTAAGTAGGTCATTCTGTAGTTTATCTAAAATTCTTATAAAAATCCCTCAAAAAAATAAAATTTTGCTAGCAACTATGCTTCTTTCACTTCTTATTTATCTATCAAAAAGGGCTAAAAACGACCTTTAGTAAATATTCTGTTAAAATTACTTTTTAAAAACAAAATTTCGTTAGCCTAGTTTCTTCTTATTTACATTAAAAAATTTGCACTTTAGTAAATTTATGTAAGTACTATGAAATCTGTTTTCTGAAATATTTGATGCTTAATGTTTATTGAAACCCCTTAATGCGGATCTGAAGTATTCAGCTCAAAGGATCATAGCTTTATATCAAAACGTTAAAAAATATTTACCGTTGAAAACGAATATATTTCTTATTTTTCATAACATTGGCATTTATATTATTTGTATATACAATTTTTCACGATACATCGTGGCATTTTCAACTCGAAATTGAATAACTAAAACACTTTAAATTGCTAATAACACCAACAAATAATTCAAAAAACGGCGGTCCATAATGATTCACTCACGCGGAGATGAGCGCGTAGAATAGAAATGTTGGAACGATTCGGGTGGCGTCGTGGAAACAATGATTTTTAATTGGTGGATTATTTACGGTTGGAATAGACAACATGCGCTATGAATGTTACATCTCCGGTCTCTTTAATCTAAGTGGTAGACATAAGTAGAATGAGACAGTCTAAAAGCTCTTAAAATATTTTGCAAAGGGTACCGCCGCGAACCAACTCCCTCAATCTAAGGGTAAGGTAACGTGCCGACGGATGAAATGTCGCAGGGGTAAAAAAAATTATTACGATTAACTTTTATTTCCAAAAAAACGGAAGTAAACTATGACGTCACAAAAGTTTGAAGAAATTGTACCCATCAATTAATTGCGTGAATAGACGTATTTTTTTTAATTTCAAAGCGAATTCGTCTAAGAATGATTTTTTTATATATATACAGGGTATTAATTAATGATATTCGAATATTTAAGGATGTGAATCTACATGAAAAATTAATGATAGTTTGCTTTATATGTTTCATTACGAAAATACAGGGCAGTAAGGTTTTGGGAAAAAAGGGGAAATTAATTAATATTTTTGTAACCGCTTGAGACATTTCAGTGATACTTAATATTCAGTGACAGTTAATAATGGTGCATATTTTTCAGATTTAACATTGGCGTGCGTACGGTCACTAGCCTCAATATTTTTGAAGAAAAAATGGTACGCCAATGGTTTTTTCCCAAATAAGTTAAACTTAAAGGATCTCTTGATTTGTTATCCTAGGTTGCTCTGTTTTTGACTAAAAAAAAATGAAAATTGTTGCACTGTCCGAGAAAATTAATGCAATTATTGAAGAATGAAATAAAAAAAAAATGACATTTGGACCATAGTTTATAAAGCAAACCATCACTAATTTTTCATGTAGATTTACACTCTTAAATATACGTATGTCATTAAGGAACACCTTGTATTTAAAAAACGCAAAGTGAACACCAAATTAATAATGTCACTACCGGTCCTGAATGTCACAGAAATGTCACCTAATTTAGTCATGCTAAACAGAGTTGTCAATGTTATTGTTTACCATCATTAATAAACGTAAATGATATAAATTTAAATTGGTTTATTATGGTCTATTATAAGATGTTTAGCAATTTTAGTTATGAGTCATTTGCATGTAAAGTAAAGAATAATTCTACATTCTCATTTGATGGTAAATCTACAAGTCACACAACTACTGTAAATCTAAGAGCATCTGCAATTTTGGGTACAGAATCAATTTTTGCTTGTCGAAGCTGTTGCGAGTTCAAACGAGTTTCTACAAGAGACCTTTAAATTGGTGTGGCCATTTATTTCTCTTTTTGATGTTCTTTGTCAACTTTCGCATCTGGTGTGGATAATCTATGGCCAAGTTCAACAGAATATGGAACTTGCGATTAAATTAATGTAAACAATAGAACATCACTCAAGGGACCAACCACACACTTGCAATTTCTGCCAACACACTCAGCTTTTGGAGGTTAATGCAGGCGTCACCAAGGAGGCAATCATAGCCACTAAGGTGATGTCACTTTCCACACTCGTCATGTACAATATACTATTTTTTATCATAGACATTACTAGAAAGATAAAGATTTTAAAATATCACACTGACGAGAAATGCAGCAATGTCTTGTAAAAACTGTAATTTGGAATGTTCCTTTATTGCTTAAATCAGAAGTGTGAGAAACAAACACATTTAATATTTACCTGCTGGAAGCACCCGCCACCTGTCCGAAAGGATTGTGATGCCTGGAAGAAGGAGATGGAGATGGCACTCCCGGACTCGGTGGAACTCCATCCACTCCAATTATTTGACAATCTGTGTGGTTTAGTAGATGTTTCACGCGTTGGAAGTCGCCTAGTTTGCTTTGAATTTGTTGTTTGACTGGATCTGATGCGGACGGGTTAACCTGAAAACAAAATAGCATTTTTAGTATGATATTTAATGATTTGTGTAAACAGAGAATTTTATATTATTGTCCCCTCCCTCTTTTCTTTTAAACGGTGATAGTTATACTGATGAAATTTGGAGAGTAAAAATGAACTATTTTGTAAGTTTCTTTACTAGTGACGTAATAGTTATTAATGACGACACAAGGCGACTGGAAGCAAAAATATTAAATGGGACCTTATGGCAAGTGACACCTCGTTTGAAAGATATTTAGAATATCTATTTAATCATAATAATTTTGATTGGATTTACGGTGACTTTGATGGATCAGTAAAATTTCGTTTTTAATTAAAAAAGAATCAACAGTCGGTGGTCAATTTTCAAAAAAGTATTTTCAACGTTTATTATGATTAAAATGAGAAAAACCAAACATGGTAGGTAGAATTTCACACTTTTATTTTATTTACATTTCGGTATGCAAAACAAACTAATTAGTCAAGGTACTTAAGAATAAATCATAAATATATCAATAACATTCCAATAAGGTATTATCATTACCGGGATTATTTCACAGAAAACATCAGGTAGAGATTTAATAAAGGTGAGTTATTAATATCTAATGGATCATTTAAGAGGTTATCTGAATTTTTAAATCTATTTATTTTAAGTGTTTCTAAATGATTTTCCGCTAAAATATGGTTTGAAAAATTATTCTTGTTTTTAATATAACTATTGTAATGTTCTCAATAGCGTTTTTTAAATTTTATTTTTTTAAAATAAAAGTGTTTGTGAAAATCTACCCTGTTTGATTTTTCTCATTTTAATAATATGGATTTTCATCAAGTAAAATACGAAACAATCAAGAGTTTATTATAATGTTTAGCTGGTTATATTATCAGGCATTTATTGAAGTGCAAATAATGTTGATGATCTAGGTTCCTTTTCAGATCACATAGTTTTCTTTAAACATCCTATACATGTAGTAATTATAGATGAAGACAAGCGAATAACCATTACAAGAGTCATTGACTTACCTGGCAAGGAATTTTTCGAGCTTATCTCATGAAAATAATTACAAACCCACCCTCCCTTAATATCCCATGTGATCAGAAAACTATTGACAAATACGAAGTGATCAGTAACAAGGGGTAGTATAGTTTTAAACTTTTTACCGATTTGGGTAGTAATACGATAGATAGTAATTATTTTCAGATGACAAGCTCGAGAAATTCCGATTGATCTTCCTTACCAGGTTAATCAGTCAATCAATCTTTTAATTATTATTATTACTAAATAGAATCAATCCACAGTAAGTTTTTTTAATTAATTAATTCTAGAAAATACTTAAAAATATGATTTTATTTCAAGCACTGATAGATGACATTCAAAGTTCGAGGTATATTCGCAGAACCGGACAAAGCAGACTTTTCTATTATTCAAAAAACTTTTTAAGGGTTAGATGGATTTTTCAAAGTTAAAATGGCTAAGTTTTTGTTTCGCATGAAATGCCAAGAAATTAAATTTTAATGGGGATATCCTATGTACATGTCAATCAAAATTTTGAATCTACGAATCAAAACAAACAATTATGAGAGAATTTATTATAAGCCCGCAAGATATTTCTGCGGAAATTCCAGAATTTATTGAACTTGTGTACTTTTTTTAATGTCTGGACGGCATTAGACAAGCTGTGTTTCTCAAACTTTTTTGGCGACGGAACCTTTTTAAAATGCTCTAGCCCATTTACGTCCAGAATTCATTGATGCTGGATGGTTGTATATAATGGAATCTGCGCCCACTATTGAAGAAATCAATGATTATAATGATTATTTTGTGTCCCAATGGTTAGAAAACCCAACAATTAAGAATATGTAGATTGGTCACGGGGAGCGACACAGGACGACCAACGTTTGTGAATCCTGGCACAGTCGTTTAAATAGATTAATTGGAAAATCAAATCCAAATATAATTGAACTAATAAATTCGTTGAGAAATGATTCAGATTACTACGATGCTGTTCAAAAGAGGATCGAAAACAACATATCTCCGAAGAAACGACCTCCAAAATACGTGCAAGTTGATAGGCGCATAAATAGGATTGTTGCAGAATTGTCTATTAATAACAATATAGGGGCAGCACTCCATATGCTGTCAAATATAATTACCATTTGAGTCACATAAGGAGAATATAAAATTACTAAAACAAAATCAGTTCTTTTCAGAACTACAACATATTTATTAAGATGATTGATTTCTAGATGTATCTGTGACACCTGTTATTAGTAAGTATTCAAAGTTATTTTTGATTGCAAATGAGGATGAGTGATTTCCGGTCAGCAGGTACGTAGATAGGTATGGTAATCCGCACTTAACATCTGAACCAGATACTTATGAATGTTTTGATGTCATTAGTCAATTCCTAACACATATTATTTATGATTGTTAATCTTCGTATTTATTAATTTATTTTTAATTTTATTTACGAAAATAACCGGGTCAATTGATTTTCTTATTGTTCAATTATAAATTAAATAATATTAATAATAATAATTAAACAAAATAAGAATTCAATGTGTAATATTAGTTTAATATAGTTTATAACTGAAAGCGAAATAAAAATATTCTTTACCAAAATGTAAAATACTAAAACAAAATCAGTTCTTTTCAGAACTACAACATATTTATTATGTGATAGAATCTCGTGGTCGGTAGTGGGATATACAAAAAATAAGTAAATCCTGCGCGGGCGGTAGTGGCACTCGCGCTAGGCATGTTGAAAAAGTATCGATATATCGATGTATCGATATTTTTAATCCGATATATCGATATTTTTAGCCGATATATTTTGATCCGATATATCGATATATCGATACAAAATATCCAATATCGAAAATTGTATCAAAAACGATATATTTTTTTAATTTATATAACTAAAGTCACTAGAGTCCAAAACCGTAAAAGATAGGAACGAACGCAAAGAAGAAAACTGACCAGTTGACCTATCCGATTGCCAAGAGCAAGAAAACTATACTCTCCCGTTTTGATAGCTGGGTAAATTGTCCTGTAGGATATAGCCCAAAAAAAGAAAGAAGAAGAATAAAATAACCTAACGTATGTTCGCGTGTGATCACGGTACCTAAATAACCTCAATCTGAATTGTTTACTTTTTTCTAATTCGGAATTTGTGTTTCACGACGTGAAACATGTCGTCCAGCAGTAGTGCTGTGTGGAACTTTTTTAAAAAGACCAATAAAATAAATGGTGGAATCGGCCCTAAATAAGTTTAAAATTATTAGAAGATTTTTAGTTTTTTATATTTTTGTAATAATTATTGTCTAATAAAAAGGAATACTGATTAAAATACCTTCATTTTTATTGAGATTTTTGTACATTAAAATAATGTACATTTTGTATAAAAATTACTATTAATAATATTGAGCTGAATACACTATTATTTTAAAAAGGCAAAATCTTAAAATTTTTACCGATATATCGATACTTTTTCCCCGATATATCGACGTTGATATTGATATTTTTATAAATATCGATACATCGATATATCGATATTTTTTTTCATTTTCGACATCCCGGCGGCGCAGGTAGTTTTTGGTCGCGGTCGGTAATGGGACGGTCTCTACAATAGCCCAATGTTTCTCAAAGTATGCTCCGCGGATCCCGGCATTGAGCTAGTCTATTTAATGAGGTGTAACAGACCAAGTATCACCACTAGGTGGCACTACTAAAACGAGAGGTCTGTATGCAACGTTACTTTTATGTATTTTTTGTATTGAATGCAAGAACACAATATTTAAACATTAGTTTTAGAGAAAAACAGTATTTACTTTAATCGTACATACATGTTGTATTTTTAAAAGTATTATTTATTTTTTTGCCCTATTTAAATTAAAGGCGTCTAAAAACAATATTTATCTAACACTACCGATTGCTAGTTATGAATTCAATGGTTTCTATATTTTGAGGTGTTGTGAATTTCCCCTGAAACTAAACTCGAGCGCCGAGAGCAATAACTCTGTTTATTAAATTTAATATTGTTTTTAATATTTTTTCTTAATTATCTTCTGCTTCTTATTTAGTTAATATTGTATCATTATTGTATTTATTTTTCTCTCAATACATTTAAGGTTTTCTTTTAGCCTTTTATTTTGATCCTCCAGACTTTTCTTTTAAATTCTACAAATTTTTGAATTCTTTTTTAACCAATTTATCATCTATATTTTTTAATAAATTAAAAATATCTTGATTTGTTACATTTTGTCCACGAGTAATGCTCATAATTATTGGTTCTACCTCGTATTTTATCTTTGATATATTATATCAGTAGGTACTAGTTTTTGTACTAATTAGAATATGTTATTATTTAGAAATATAAATTTTCACCTTTCCTTAGATTATAAGCTTGTCTTTTTTTATTGGTACCCTATTTTACTTATTTAAAGTACGCCTCAGCGTGTTTAAAACGAACTTCAAAAAACGCGCGTGTTTTAAAGTTACCATGGAAACATCAACAACCCGAGAAACGTGATGTCTAAATGCCAACTTTTTAAATAATGATCTGAAAGGAGTGCCTTGTAATGTCAAATAAAATATTTCTGAGAAATTTTTCAAAACATTTATTCAATCGCACAATTCACATCTTCTACAAAAGCCAAAGATACCACAAATAGCAACCACCTTCAAAAATAAATACGTAATGTCCGGTGCATCTGTAAAAAACTTCCGCAAATCGTCTTCCTCGAATACATATGCCTTCTTGACTATCTCATTTTTGCTAATTGCCTTCATGAATGCATGCACTTTGACGACCCCTTTGTTTATCCTCAACATTCTTTGTAATTTTGAATGGATAGTCCACATAGTCGATACTTTATACTGTTCCGACATTTTCTGGAGATAAGCGAGAACAACTCGTTCATCTATATGTGTAACCATTTGCTCTTCCATCCACGTGTTGAATTTATCGTATTTTTTATAAACAGCTTCGGATTTTTGTGGTATTAAGCGCGATTCTGCTTTATTATTTAAATACTCAATATTTGAACTCATTTTAAACAATAACAACTGTTGCGACAATAAATCTTACGTGACAGATTGAAAATAAATTTTTGTTTGTCTCATTTTCATGACAACGAGGTATACTGATGTTACATCACAAATTCAACCATTTTCAGTTATTAGTTCTTATTTCCATTTTTATGTAGAAATAATACCAATATTTAGGATTTCAAAGTATACCAATAAAAAAAATAAGCGTAAAGTATTCGTGGATAATTGGTCTTTAAAACACTTGCTCTATTTCGAGCGTGTTTTAAAGACCGTTATATCCACTTATTCTTAGCTTAGCATCAAAGAAAATGAGGAGCTTTCATATTATCTACATGTGTATCTTCCGTTATATGCTTACTTAAATTATATACTATTATTTCGATATATCAATTTAGAAAAATAATACATAAAAGTAAAAAATATATTGTACATGTATACAAAAATTTTCACTTTTGCATCCGAGATAAAACGCTAGAAAGTATACTCCGGTAAGTGAAAACGAATGCAAATAATTGATTATTTAAAAGCGTCTACTCGATTTTATTCAGAGGTCATTGATTACTTCATTGTATTTTATCATTTACATTTCAATCAATGGAATGTGTTAACGTTTAAACTGAGCTAGGAAATTAAATGTCATTGAACTAAACGAATATATGGATATAATCATATACATCATATATATTAAATATCATAATCATATATCAAATCATATAATCATATAGGGTGTCCCATTAGTGCGTAATTGCTCAATAAATCAATTTGTGTTACAGTTTCTAATAAGAGTTATATGGAATTTAAAAAGGCATGTTTTAAAAATATTTTTGGATATACAGGATGTTCCGCTTTTGCCGAACAAATAAAAATGTATATTTTTTAAATGGACACCTTCTATTTTATTTCATTTTTATAATGGTCTAGTAATACAGTATTCAACGCTAAAATATTTTTGAAAAATATGTTTGCAAAGCAATTAATTATTTTCTGAAATTTCAGAATGATGCATACTAATTTCAAAAATGTTTGAAAAGATACCAAGCTAACGAATAGTGGTAATAGAACTGGTTTATTTTATACAGAGATTTTTTCAAATTGAACACCCTGTATATTATTTCAGCATAAAGTTTCTTACATTGCACTTCTTTTATTCGTACGTTTCCTATAACAACCGCAGGCTACATGATACCAATGTTATATATTATATACTATATATTATATATTATATATTATATATTATATATTATATATTATATATTATATATTATATATTATATATTATATATTATATATTATATATTATATATTATATATTATATATTATATATTATATATTATATATTATATATTATATATTATATATTATATATTATATATTATATATTATATATTATATATTATATATTATATATTATATATTATATATTATATATTATATATTATATATTATATATTATATATTATATATTATATATTATATATTATATATTATATATTATATATTATATATTATATATTATATATTATATATTATATATTATATATTATATATTATATATTATATATTATATATTATATATTATATATTATATATTATATATTATATATTATATATTATATATTATATATTATATATTATATATTATATATTATATATTATATATTATATATTATATATTATATATTATATATTATATATTATATATTATATATTATATATTATATATTATATATTATATATTATATATTATATATTATATATTATATTTTGATCAAATATTTTCCTATATTAATTACAATATATATTCGTTCTAGATGTGCGTCAATCAGAAAATTGTGATCACTACGACCAATTGTTCCGTTGCCAACCGTTAAAAAAATCACAATCGTTTATAGTCGTCACCCGGTAGTTTATATATCTACTATACGTTTGGCTCCGATTCAAAAACTTTCACTGCATAGAAAACTTTTAATTATAAAGAATGTGAATTAATTACAGAGGCGATTATTTTATTTAAATGTATTTTTACGTGTAATCAGGGACGGAGCCAGTGGCGGGCAAGCCGGGCACCTATCCGGGGCTGTAAAATTAACTAGTTTATGAAAAAAATGAATAAATCAAGATTCATTTGAATAGTACAAAAAATTAATAGATAGAAATTTAATAAAAATTGTTTTGGAACTATCGGTGCTCTAACATCTCAACAGCCTCCTGACAAAATTTTTGTCCGGGCTCTGCAAACTATGTCTTGTGTTTTGGAATGATACTAATGTATTAAATCATTTGTACTAAAAATTATATCTGGAATTTCGTGTTAAATATTGGTTTTTGATATTTGATAGAATAATGTTTTTCCGCGAAACCGCGAATTTTTTAAAGACCTAAAAAATATATTTAGAGGTATTGCTATTTGATGATTTATTATTAGACCAGAACAAAATTTTGAAAATTTATTTAGGTTATTTTGTTTATAATAGTTTGAATATTCGGTAAACAATTTAAAATTATAGCATTTTAAATTTTAAGGTATATTATTTAATTCAAGAAAATTAGAATTTTCGTCAATTTCGGATTTTAAAAAATTCATAACAATTAAAGGGTTAAAGATACGATGATGGGTGTAAGGACTTTTTTTTATTCGAAATTTTCTAAAGAATATAAAAAAATTAATTCATTGCAAAAAATGCATTTTTTTTTGGCTTAATTAATTTTTCGTTGTTTAAACAATAACATCAACAAATATCGAGTGTTATCTTACACTTTTATAATCAGGAAAGCCCTCCGGACATTAAAAAAAAAATTACGAATTAAAACAATTTTGCAAACGAATGCGCTACTATGCCCTGCACTATATGTTTTTTATTGATACTTGTTTACTGAATATTTGGTATAAAAAATGTATTTGGAATCTCGTGTTAAATGTTCGTTTTTGTTGATATGGTTGAGTAATATTTATCCGCGGAAACACTTGACTTTAAAGACCTAAAAAGTATGTCTTGCTATTTAATGATTTTTTTTGTTTTATCGCTAGTAGTGTACTACATTATTGGTATAAAAATTGTAATTGTAATCTCGTGCTAAATGTGTTTTTTGGTCTCTTTGTTCTTATAATCGTTTAACGACAGAACACATTACTTTAAAAATACCAAAAAAAATTTTTTTTTAATCATTGCTCAGCCATAATTTTTTTTAATCAATTATCAAAAACCTAATGAATACCTATTTGGTATAAAAATTATATTTATAATCGCATTGTAAATATGTTTGTTTTATCCCCGTCTTTCTGTAAGATTATCTTGTTTTAACTAATAATTCAAATTTTTTTCAATAAATACACTAATTTTTATTTATTTCTTAACTTTCATGATACTAAAGTCCACCTAAACCAAAGATTTTGCCGAATAACAATATCAAAACATTAAGGGACCGCCGCGCGGTTTGTCTGTTAGCTTCAGCCTCATCAATTAGGAGCATTAGAAGCATTGTATATCTCCAATGCTTATATGCGGTTTGTAATATTTTAGAGATTGACAACTCTAAAAGAGTTGAAGCTTCTGGGCTATTAAGGTGTGTTATTAAGTTATTATGCTCCATTGGAATTTTGTACAAAATCCTAAATTGTATTGTAAAGTCCATTAATTATTTTCTTCAATTTTTTCAAATTTTTAATTCCACTAATTTTTTTATAATAATTACATTTTTTTATCTCCTGAAAAATTTGAAAAAGTGGAGATAGCCGGTTCTTGCTTTGGACCTTTCAATTATATACTAGATTTGTGTTCTATACTAGATTTTTTCCATGTAACCTTAATTTTATAAAATCATAAATCAAGAAATCTATATTTTTGGAAAATCAAAATTTCAACATTTTTAATACCAATTTTTTTTTTGCTTACCTTTTAATTTACTATTGAGCGGAAAAGAGTTTAGATTACCACTTTTAAATTTTGTGATAAAGGGGCGGAATTTTACCTTTTTGTCTTGGGCGACAAAACTGTTAGCACCGGCCCTGGTGTAATAAGTAATTATTTTCATTAATAAAAGTCGGAATTGAATAGTTTAATTTTAATCTAGGAACTTCGCTACTACATTTTTACATGATTATCTTTCTTTGAACAAGGACATAGTTACTTTTCTAATAAAAAGTTAGAATATAAATCAATGTTTAAGCAGACACCGACAAAAACGCAAACGGAAAAGTTTATATACATATACTCACTCTGATTAGTGGCTGAAAGAGGCAACTTCCGGGCGGTCCCGGACTTTCTTGTTCGGCCGCCTGTGACGACATCTGTGCCCGCGCCTGCCGTTCCCGCTCACGGAGGCGGTCTCGTTCCACGCTGAAATAAAAACAATGTTTAAGAAATAATGTAATAATATTTTTTTTTTATTAATTCGGAATAGATAATTTATATTTAAAATAAAATGTTTGCGTATGATTCTAATTTAAGTAAACACAGTGTAGATAAGTATGTATTTTTAGTAACGTTTAGCCAATTAATAAATCATCGAGATTATAAAATTGTCAGTAATTATTATACTCTTCACACAGTAGGCTGTGAATATTATTATGCGTTTAATTCCGTCCGTCCGATGTCACGTTTTTGTCCGCACGATAAGTCAAAAACGAAACACGATATCAACATGAAATTTTTTAGTAAAAAGCAAGCTCTGTAAGGAGATGGAGCTTATTGATTCTAAAAAAAAAAATTGAATAAAACTGGGGGGTTAACATATTTAAAAAAAAGCTAACTCAAAAACGAACAATAATAATATGGCAAAAATCTTGCTCTTAAGAGTACAAAAGAGTACAAAAGAGTAAAAATCTGAATAAAATGGAGATCAAGGAAGGAAAAAATAAAAAAAAATAGAAATAAAAACCTAAAACGATATCAACATAAAATGTTTAGTAAAATCAAGCTCAAAAGAATTAATAAAATTGGGAGATAAGGGGGGGTTGAAATATTGAAAAAATCCTAACTCTGAATAAAAAAACGATTCATCAACAAAAATCAAGCTTTATAAGAGGATGAAGCCTGTTGATTCTGAAATAAATCTGATTGAAAATGGGGGTTAGGGGGGTTTAGGTTAATGTAGTGGCTTGATTGTGGACCTGAAGATTTGCTAAATCGAAATTTTGATAAATATAGCAAAATCATATCAAAATTATAGCGTTTGCAACATTCATTGAACCTTGTATGTTTCATAACCCTTTGCATATGACAACAGCGGATATTATACCCGCCTGTGTGCCTTAGAATATGTCTTATTCTATACCGCATGATATTGTTTGTAAGTAACTACACTCCTGTTAAGTCTGGGTGTAAACCATGATTTGGATCGTTTGCTTCAAGATAGCGGATAGTAACAAATAAGCGAATTTCTCTACACTAGACAATAATTCAGGCGTCTAATATCAAATGTAGCAAAGTCCACTGTTCTAAATTTTCCACTACACAACAAAAACTATTTAAAAAATATTAGGACATTACATAAAATTACTGTTTTGGCTTTTAAGTGTGTAAATAAATTATTTTATGTAAATTGCAGTGAAAATCGCCGTAGGATTTTAAATACTATTTTAAATTGGCTATATATATTGGAGTTTGCTGTATTTGATATTTAAGGTTGGAGTTTGCTATATATGATTTGTTCATGAAAGGAGATTGCTGTTTATGATAGTAAACTGGGGTGTGAAAACATCCAGGACTGTATTGAATACAAACACAGTTCTGCTCACTAATTAATACTGTGATAAACAGATCATATTGTCAATAAACAATGTGTCCATGAGCACCGACCAAAAAATAGCTGGGGGGCAAGTCTTATAGGCAAGTTCAAAATTCTGCAGGCTATAGACGAAAGCCATAGCGAACCAGTAACTTAAAAAAACGCTGAAACACGTGAATTGATTTTACATTGGACGTATTTGGTGTCAATAAAATGAATTTTTTTCTTCAACCCCTTAGCTACAACACTACCCAACGTTTTTTTTTTTTTTTTTCAAAGGAATGTCGTGTGTAGGTCATTGAAAAGCTCGTGACAAATGGAATATCACCATACCCTGTTTTTTCTTTTACTTATATGGTTGTTGGAAAATGAGAAAAACCTTTTTTAAAAACAAAAATACATGTGGCACTCAGGGACTGCCGCGGTAAAGCTATTGCATAGCATTTTTTTATCAACTTATGCAATTATAATCATTTATTTATTTTATTTATGCAGTATTTTTTTTTTCTTTGATATTAATTCAAGTTTTTTCTTTGATATTAATTCAAGTTTTTTCTTTGATATTAATTCAAGTTACACTTTTTGAGCGTGGTGACCGATAAGAATACCGCATCAATGGTGGTCTCATATTTTGTTGTGGATTCTTGTGGATCATTATTCATTTTCAAAATTTAATTTTTCCGAAATTGTGTCTAAAAAGAGATAATCAGTTATGAGCAGTTAGCAGCTAGTCTACACGCATACGTCTAGTCGCACGCACACAAACACCGTGCCGAAGTGTGCCGAACTGAAACGACGTTAGATGATGCACGGCTTTCAACGACGCACCGGTGTGCCGGTCGGAGTGGGGGGTGTTAGGTTTATTTTCGTTACAGAATTTCTTTTTCGATCTTTCGATTTTACGATTTTTCGATTTTCTTTTATTGAATAAATGAGCAGTTAATATTGTTTAACGCCGCACCGCTGCGGTCGGAGTGGGGGGTGTTAGGTTTTTTTTTTCGTTACGGACATTACGGAATTTCTTGATTCGGTCGTCGCGCTCAGAGCCTGCGATAAAAGCTATGCAATAGCTTAAAAATTACAAAAATGGTACAGTGAAATTCCATTTTCTCCTACAAACGACATATCCTTGCATTTGAATGTACTTAATGTAGGAATTTATGTGTTTCTTATTGTCAATATAGATTTACTAATTACTGTCCTGGAAAAATGTTGCTTATCTCAATCATTTCGCCTTATTTGCTTTCCAATTTTTGGCATTTCTAACACACTTTCTTACGTGTTTTTTATCTACAGGAGGACAATAAACCTCCATTTTATGAATTTTCACAAAACAATTCTTAATATTTTGGCATTTTATACTAAAAAAACAGAAATTAACTATGCACGTGTTGTTACAAATAGACTACAGCTACCATACTGGTTTAACTACATGTTATTGGCTGAAAGTGACTTTGCTACTTTTGTTATGTCAAATCTGGAGATTGCTGTTTCTAATACAAACTTAAAACTTTTCTGAATGGTTTTAACGCCTTATTTCTGTTTTTGCTACAAAATAAGATCTAATATTTTAATAAACAAACATTCCAAACCGGTACAACACAAAAAGCTTCAATCAGAAAATTTGGAGTTTGCTGCTTTTGATATTAGACCCCTAAATTATGATTAGTGTAAAATCAGAATGCAACTACCTGTAAAACCGTAAAAATAAATTAGTGACATTATCAAGGCTTCGCTGATAAAAACTTAATGTTTTGCAGTTGAGTCCTTCGATATTTTTGTTTATTTATTTTTATCGGTTTATTTTACCAACACTTCCAGCAGATGTTTTATTTACATTAATTTTAACACAGAACAAAAAAATTTCAGTATATTTGAAAAGAAAATTGCAGTATATTTCGGTATAAGGCACCATTCAAAACTATGATTTAAAAAATGTTCGTAGAATTCAAGCGTGGAAATCACCTGTTATTACAAATAAAACCGATGCTATGCGTAAAATATTTTATCAGATGGCATGATACATAGATATAGTATAGTAAGATAGAGGCATCCTTAGATATTAACAAATACATGTTAAGGTAAGGGATAATTAACCCTAATAAAAGTCATTAAACTACCAAAACTTTTTATTTATTAGTATTACACTTGCTGCGTTTGAGAATCCACATCGGATGCATCTGAGATGTAAAAAATCTTTGATCACGTGGTTCAGTATACGTAAATGTAATGGGACAGATGTGTCCGATGTGGATTCTCAAACGCAGCAACTATTCTATATTTTATTGCTTGGCTACGCAGTCAAGATAAGACTCCGACCGCTGCTTTCCTCTGCTGCTCTCCGTTCGTCCGTCCTAACTTGCCAGCTTTCGTCTGAAGAATTCTTCGGGCTTGAAAGATGATCGGCACTATTATCTTCAATTTGTTCCTCGTCTAAGTCATCATCGAGCAAATGCTCTCGTAAATGGTGGCAGATAAATTGTTCGAAATCAATAATTCGAAATCAGTTATTCGAAAGATCATTTATTCGAAAAGCAGTTATTCGAAAGTGAATTGTACGAAATATTTTATTCGAATTGAAATTTTTAAAATTACCAAATTTTCTTAAACAAATCATTATTAAAAAATAAAACAATAATGTTTTAAGAGTATAATTTTAAGTAGGTAGACATAAATACAAAATATAAAACTAATAACTTAAATTATGCGCTATCCCTCTAAGGCAGCCCTAGGGCTCCGCAAAGCCTTTGTGGGGGCTCCACGAAGAAAATAATAGCCATAACAAAACAAAGCAGTACCTATCGGTACAACGGGATTTGGGGACCTTTTTTTTTAGAAGCCAGGAAGAGGAAGGAGTATGAGCACTTTTTTTTAGAAATCAGGACGAGGAAGGAGTATGCGGACCTTTTTTTTAGAAGTCAGGAAGAGGAACGAGTATATGATTTTGGTATGATGACCTTCTGTTTTTTTTTAGAAGTCAGGAAGAGGAAGGAGTATTTGATTTTGGCATAAGGACCTTTTTTTAGAGGACAGAGGAACCCAAGTAACATTTTTAGGAGAAACAAGTTTTGTTTATGTTTTATTGGGATTTTGTAAAAGCATAAAAATTAATACTTATTTTTTTTGCCAATAGGACTGCAGGATAAATTGATCTTATTACTTGGTTTTATAGATTCCTTTAAATCTGGTTAAGAAAACTAGTTTATCCTAAAGTAAACTATGCTTTATCGCTGTCCTGTAAGGGTTAATTAATAAGTAATTTCAGAACTATTTAGTTTGAAGATACTCCTAAGGTGTGTTTGGTGTTAAAGAGTCATACTTTTTAGCAGTTATCTTAATTATGTTTTAAAACTTAGTTTTAAAAAGTGTTTTAGGATTAAACTTTAAATGAAATTGATCCCAGAACCTTTTAGGTACATTTTCTATAATTTTACAACATAACTGTTATAATTTATTTAATCTAATAAACGATAGGGCTCTTTTAAAACTACATAGTTTTAATAAGAAATAAAGTTTGTTTTAGAGCATAACCTAGCTTTTCAACCTTCAACCCAATCACATTATGTTGACGTTGAAAGAAAAATTGCTCAAAATAAAAAAAAATGGTAAT